CAGTCGCTGGAGAAGGATATCATGTTTGGTAAAGTGGAGGGTCAGAGAAAAAGAGGAAGACCCCCAACGAGATGGATTGGCCATATGTCAGCTTCGATGGACTCAAGCATGGCAACACTAGTGAGGTTGGCCCAGGATTGGGCAGTGTTTTATTCTACTGTGCATAAGGTCACTATGAGTCGGTATCGACTCAATGACACCTAACAACAACAGTGGGTCGCTATGGAGTTCTGTTGTGGTGCTGTGTGTTAATGCGCTTGACTGCAAAGCTGTTTGAACTGCAAGGTTGATGGTTCATGCTCACCAGCTGCTCTTTGGAAACCCTAAACAGGGTAGCTATGGGTTGAAATTGACTCAATGGCACTTAACAATGGGTCGCTATGAGTCAGAACCGACTCAATAGCACATAACAACAATAACAATGCAATTTGAAGCACAGGATCTGTCATTTGGATCAATTCTGATGACTCAACTAAATTCTCTTGTATGATAGAAAAGTACTTTTAGATTCTTCAAATGCCTAGTGACTAAAGATTGAAAATTATTAATGATATGAGAGAGCAGGCAATAATCATACTCTCCTAACCAAATAATTTCCCTTTTCTAAGAGAAATTAATTGAAAATTCCAGATTTACATGTGCTTGTCTTTTAAGGTAGGGTCATCTGTGAAAATATTACATCAAGTTCAAAATAGTTATCTTTGAGAACACTCCTCTTTGCTTGTAAAATAAAAGTAACAGAGGTGAGGTCCTTGCTGAGCAGAGAAGGAAGACCTGAGAATTGAGCCATTTCTGGAGCCCATGTTTATAGCTGCCTTTGTTGTTATTAAGTGTCATTGAGTCAGTTCCGACTCATAGCAACTCTGTATAGGGTTTTCAAGGAGCTGCTGGTGAGCTTGAACTGCCAACTTGGTGGTTCAAACCGACCTTGCAGTCTAGTGCATTAACCCACAGCGCCACACCAGGACTCTTATAGATGCCTTACTGGGTATAATAACTTTAGGTGAAAAGGCAACTCTCCAAATGTTTCTCACATTTAAGATAGGTATGATGCTGTCTTTTCATGTTATTTAAAGTTTAAAAAATTACTTTTTCAGAGAAACAGATTTGGCATCTCCCAAGAAATCATTATGTGCTATGGGTAAGGTATCCTGAATGTGCCCTTTTGGCAAGTGTAGAACAGCTTGGTGTTAGGTAAATTTGTTTTTCTTTATTTTTCTGTGTCTAATATGGACTTCTGGTGAGGTGCTGTGGATCAGTACAGGACTGTGAACCACAAGGTCAGCAGTTCAAACCCACAAGTGGCTCCTCAGAAACCCTTTACAGGGTTGCTATGAGTCAGAAACAATTTGACGGTACTTAACAACAACAACAACATCAATATGGAAAGGTGACATTTGTTTGTGTGTATTCATGCTGGATCCTAGAAATATGTGACATTTGTTGGTGATTTGTTGACATCAAATTAAGATTGTGAACGTACAAAACATTTGTTTATAGCAATCTTTTTAAAATGAGTCTCAGTGCTTTTTAAGGTCACAGGCTGAATTAAAAAGCAGGATCTGAGTATGTAGTACAGAGAGATTATTTGATAAATTTACCAAATGTACCTAATTCTTGGACTGCAGAAGCCCTGGGGACAGGAGGATTGTTTTTTCATTGCTGCTAGAACATGGGACTTTTAAGGACATTATATCCATGGGATTTTTTTTTAAAGGAGTCACCTTAAAATAATTGTAAACTGGGCTTTAGAAGTTCTTTTGTGATATTTATATTTTCTCAAACTCAGAAATGACTTTTAATGAGGAAAACCTATTTGTTGTTGTTGTTAAGTGTTGTCAAGTCTGTTCCGACTCATAGTGATACTATATACGGTTTCCAAGGAGCAGCTGGTGAGTTTCAACTACCAACCTTGAGGTTCAAACTGACCTTGTGACCCAGTGCTTATCCTACAGTGCCACACCAAAGAGTTTACGTATCATATAGCTGATTCCTTTTGTTTGGGCTGTAGCTATTCAAATATTTACCTTGATCCTAATATTTTCTGCTTTTTCTATTTCATGTTGTTCTTGTTGCTGAGTGCCCTTGAGTCAGTTCCAACTCAAAGAAACCCTGTATAGGGTTTCTGAGGAGCAGTTGGTGGGTTTGAACCAATAAACCTACAGCTAGCAATCCAGTGCTTATCTTACCGCACCACACCAGGACTCCATAGAAGTTACAATTTTATTTTGGAATATTTAGAAGTGAGAAATATAATTTTCTATAATAGTATGATTTTTAATCTTCAAGGGTTTTTAATGTGCTGTATGAGTCTACATGCTCATTGTAACATAAGTATATGAAATAGTAAATTTAAATAACAAAGCAATAAAGAATTGCACCTTAAGATTTGGGGTTCCTTTCCCTAGACCCTAAAACCATGACTTATCACAGTCTTCCATATAAAATAACAACAATATCCAGGATGTACCTTGTGATGTACAGAAACACATTTGTGGATTCTAAATAGGATATTTACAAGTGGTATATTTTGAAGATTCCTTAAATTACTTTTGGAGGAAACATCCTCCTAAAAGAAGTAGTTGTCATAATTTGTATTCCCAAACAAAATCCACTGCCACTGAGTCAATTCTGACTCATAGCTACCTTGTATAGGGCTTCGGAGGCTATCAATCTTTACGGGAGCAGAAAGACTCATCTTTCTCCTATGGAGTGACTAGTAGGTTTGAACTGCTGACCTTATTCTGGTTAGCAGTCCAGAGGTTATCCTCCAGTGCCACTGGGACTAATTTTTTTCACAATTTATAGCCCTTTGGAAACAGAAGCAGAATTTAGAAAATGTTCTGATTTCATCTATTTTATTTTCATAATTGTCATTTTTTTAGTTTAAAAATCTAAAGCGGGTTTTTCTCTTTTTGTTCTATTACAGCTGGGGAAAATTCTGCGAAGCCCTTTTATGAAATTTGTGGCACATGCTGCTTCCTTCATCATCTTCCTGGGCCTGCTGGTGTTTAATGCATCAGACAGATTCGAAGGCATCACCACACTGCCAAATATCACTGTCATTGACTATCCCAAACAGATCTTCAGGGTGAAAACTACCCAGTTCACATGGACTGAAATGTTAATTATGGTTTGGGTTCTTGGTAAGTCACTTATTTTAAATTCCCTAATTTCTACCAAAAATAATGCTGTTTTTATAACAATTGCCATTTTCTTATATGGCGACAGAATCGCCATTGTAAAATAATCTATTCGTTTGACATTTAAATAATGCTAAAAGATATCCCTTAACACTAAAAAGTTTAAGCCTGATCACAAATGTACCCTGTTTCTGAAATCTAAGTTCAACTGCTGAATAAAATGTTGTCTTTTCCTGGGGCTCACTGGAAGGATCACTTATTTAAATATTTGTGAAATAGCTCAATGACTATTAACTGCCGTGAAAGAACTTTTATATTGCTTTAGCTTCAGAAATTCTAGGAGAGTTTCCCTTATTTCAGAATGTCTGTTACTTCACTTCACAATAACCTATTTTAAACAGCTTGTGTGAATGTAAAAATTCTAAGTTACGTGAGGGGAAAGAAAAATATTTGTGCTCTAGCCCACTATGAGTCGGAACGGACTCCACAGTACTTAACAACAACAACAACAACAATAGCCAGTTTACCTACTAACACTCATCCAAAGTCATTTTTGAACACTGTCTTTCAACTAACTTCTTTCTTGGTGTCTTAGTACCTGAATTCATAGGTTGATTCTTCCTCTTAGTTACGCCCGTAATTGTTTTATGAATTTTATTTTGAACCCTTAAACCCATCCATTGCTATTGAATCAATTCCAACTCATAGTGAGCCTCTAGGAAAGAGTAGAACTGCATCCGAGGCTTCCTTAGACTACAGCTCTTCAGGGAAGCCTCATTTTTCTCCCATGAAGCAACTGATGGGTTTAAACTGTCAACCTTGCAGTTAGTAGCCCAACAAACAACATACTGCACCATCAGAGCTTCTTTTTGAACTATTACCTTTCTTTTAAATTTTTCCCTTTATGTAGTTGAGATTAGTTGTTAAATTGGGATGTTTTGTTCTCTTCTCCCAGAATGACATTTTCTGTTCACAGTTTCTTTGGAATGTTTTAGGGGCTCCTACTATGGGCTTCTTCTTTTTCACTTTACCAACATGAAGCTGAGATGAAGAGCGAGAGCAGGGGAATGAGATAAATATCCCTGGACAATTGGGAAATTGTTTTACTTTATTAAAAGTGTGCATCTCATTTAGTGGATTTCTCCATTAATCACTTGTGATTTTAGTATGTATTTTTTCCTCTCCTCCAAAATTTTTATGGTATAAAATCATTTGATTTAAAGGGGATTACTTGGCTATTCCTTTTCACTTTCCTTCTCTTTACTCACCTTTATCAGTAGAGAGATTTCTGATACCACATGTAGTACTGTGCTTCTCTAGATGTGAATTTGGTGGGGCAGATCATTCCCTTATGGAAGCCTCTTTGCCCATTTAACTCTACCCAGTACCCCAGTGACTTGTACAGTCGGTACCTTTCTGTTGCCTAGTATAGGCATACCTCAGAGGTTCAGTACCAAATTGCTACAAAGAAAAAAAGAAATATTGCAATAAAGTGAGTTACACTAATTTCTAGGTTTCCCTATGCATATAAAAATTATGTCTACACTGTTAAGTGTATAATAGCATTACGAGAAATTTAAAAGTATTGTGAGAATTAACAAAATGTGGCACAGGGACACAAAGTGCGCACATACTGTTGGAAAATGCTGCCGATAGACTTGCTTGATGCAAGGACACCTCAAACCTTCAATTTGTAAAAAACATAACAAAACAAAAACATTACAGTCTCTGGAAAACACAATAAAGTAAAGCACAATAAAAGGAGGTGTGCCTGTGCCTTCTAAAGAGCTAGGGCATTTTATAGATGTGCGTTGAGCATGCACAAAGCAATAGCTTCTGAGTCTAAGCTGTAACATCTAATCTGTACCCTCTGTGGTGATTCTGACAGGAATGATGTGGTCAGAATGTAAAGAGCTCTGGCTGGAAGGACCAAGGGAATACATTTTGCAGCTGTGGAATGTACTCGACTTTGGGATGCTTTCCATCTTCATTGCTGCGTTCACAGCCAGATTCCTAGCTTTTCTTCAGGCCACTAAAGCACAACAATATGTGGACAGTTATATCCAAGAGAGTGACCTCAATGAAGTTACACTTCCGCCAGAGATACAGTATTTCACTTATGGTAAGTTACTAGCTGCAGGGGCCTTTTACGTTTCAGGAAGGGCATTGGAACCACACATTAGAAGAAAATGCCAATAAAAAGAATGTTTCATTTGGGATGTGTGATGAATGTTTATGTTCAGTAGAGACAACTTTGGAACTATACAAAAATGGATTCCAAGGAAACCTCTGATTTCTTCTAGCTGTGTGAGTGACCTTGTTCAAGTTCATTTACTTCTCTGTGCCTCAGTTTTCATATCTAGAGAAAGAAGATACTGCAAAGTAGGGAAAATAATTACTCTTAAGCCTAACCTCATAATACTTTCAAGATGGGAAACTATATTAATTGTTTGTTGTTGTTAGGTGCCATCGAGTTAGAACCAACCCATAGTGACCTTATGCACAGCAGAACAAAACACTGCCCGATCCTGGGCCAACCTCACTACTGTTGCCACACTTGAGTCCATCAATGCTGCCACTTGGCTAATTCATCTCGTTGGGGGTCTTCCTCTTTTTCTCTGACCCTCCACCCTACAAAACATGATACTGTTCTCCAGCAACTGGTCACTCCTGACTATATGTCAAAAGTATGAGAGACAAAGTTTGGCCATTTTGGCCTCCCAGGAGCACTCTGGCTGTACTTCTTCCAACACGGATCTGTTAGTTCTTTTGGCAGCCCATGGCACTTTCAATATTCTCCTCCAACACCATAACTCAAAAGCATCAATTCTTCTAC